TTAATAGGCTTGAGTCAAAGATTGCTGCCACACCACCATCTCGGCCTGTGTTTTGAGGGATGTGACAGTTACTGTGCCTAGGTGGAGTGGATTCATTTAGGCTGACATATTCCTCCTGCCTTAACCATGTTTCAGTAAGACACAATAAGTCAATGTGATGTTCACTTATCAAATCATTCACTAACAGAGATTTAGATGTGAGAGATCTGATATTTAATAGTCCACATTTGATTGTCCTATTACTTTCTACTATAAGAGGAGTCATCTTAATTTTAATTAGGTTCTTATGAATAACTCCTCTGGAGTTGATTCTTGATTTATATAATTTAGGTGGGCGGGGGGCAGACACAGTCTCTATGGGGTACTGGGAGTGTTGGGTGGGTAGCAGCTGCAAGGAGACAGCAGAGAGGCGTGTAAGACTGCGACCCTGCATCCTGGACTCAACTCTGGGTTGTCATAATTTAGGTTGTAAAACAAACTCGTCCAGATTTCTAGATAAGAGAGCCGCACCACCCAAAGTGGGATGGATGCCGTCTCTGCTAATCAGACCAGGTTTTCCAGTTGTCTATGAAGCCCACGTTATTTTCTGGGCACCACCTAGACAGCCAGCGGTTGAATGACGACATGCGGCTAAACATGTCATCACTGGTCACATTGGGTAGGGGTCCAGAGAAAACTACGGAGTCTGAAATGCTGCCACTTTCTAGATCAGTTGCTGTATAAAACACATAAGAGAATTAAGATAGTTGGTTCTTTATTTTCTCATATGTGTTTACAACAGACAGCAAACAATAGCATGTAACTCCACTAGAATCCAATTCACCTGTAGAGCCTCATATCTATCACAGTATTGCACTGCGACTGGCTGCATCTCTTTGTCATCCTCTCGCTCTCTTAAGGATTCATTAGTCCCTATAGACTCCAGCAACATAAACATATTGTGCCATTCAGCTGGTACTTATGTGTCATCTGTTACCTATTGGACTGGTGTTGCTGGTGAGCCTATGAATGATAATCAGGCCTTTGTGTGTCCATAGAGGTGCAGCAGGATCCGCAGTCTGTGATGTTGCTTCGGGGGGAGATTAGGAGGGCCAGCCGGCCCTCTGTGTCACGTCGACAGTCACAGCGCCCATCCGCGGCTGGGCCAAACCCCACTGGGACCTTAAATCCTGTTACACTGTCAGCTAAAACCATCATTTGTATTAGAGATGTGTGGGTGTTTAAGTGTGTGTACATATTAAGTGAGGGGGATAGTGTCTTAAACTATGAATTATTCATACCAAAAAGAAAAGGAGATATTGACTACATCTCCATAAACAGACTGCTCTCTTTATGTCATCAGGCACGAGATCTTTGGATATAATTGCATAAAAGCCCCTGAAAATGTGCATCTCCAACGGCACAGTAGCGACTGACCAGTGTTATCATCAGGGATGAATTTGAGTGATGGCAATTGTTCCAACTTAATATCTTATAAATAATTTACTATTTCAGGGGCATTGCTTTGCCCCCCTATCAAACATGAACGTTAAGAAGCTTTACCAACCCACAGCTGTATGCTAGTAGTTGAACCCATGGAGCTGTGCTGAATTAGTGTGGCTCGTTTATTTGTGAGGGAAAACAGATGTGGAAATGATGATGCATGAACCTTATCACAAGTGGCTATAGATGTATATTTTTAGCTTGGAACTATAGTGCAGAGAAAGTAATAGAGTTGTTATAATGTGAGTGGGCTATTTCTCTCAATTATTTATCAGTAACGAGTGATAATAGAGAATGAGATTCTTTGCACTCCTGGCCCGCGCCTCCAGAGGGAGGTCGAAACTATTTGTCAGTCTCCAGTTGGGATTGCAAATTAGGATGAGCCTCCCTGCGTGACGACCCATGAAACCTCTGTTCCTATCCACGGGGTGACTGCTGTACATGATTTGAAAATTAGAGCTTTTGATAACATCTTTATGTTGAGCAATACATCAAGCTGCCACCGCGCATCTACCGATGTAAAACGTTGGATATGAGCCTGATTCGTTTTAAATCTGTAGCGTTTAGGTTTGGACTGAAATATAACATGTTTTGACTTTTTTTTAAATGTATTTTTTTGTATTCCTGGCTTTAACACATGATCTGGTAAACTCTTCATGAGAATAACAGGGTTTTTAACGCGTGAAGAAAACGTGTCATCAACATGACCTAATTATGAATGTCCATAAAAGTGATCGATGTGTACTTAGAGGTTTCAGGTAATGGCCAACTCCTGGTAGGAAATGAAAGCACAGACTAATAAAAAGATGAAAATTGCCCTCGCAAATATACAGGTTTTTGTCCGAATGACTCTAGTTGTCGTCAAAGGGTTCAACTGCTCCTAATTTGTGCTTTAATGGCGCAGCCTAATTACAGGTTTAGCCTTTATGGAAGATTAGCGGTGTGAAGCTGAGCACATTAGGCACAGTATGGAGAGAAAACGGATAGCATCACACCGTCATGTGGGTATGTTTTGGAACTGGAGAGCTAATTCGATGGAGCTGCTAAATTATGGCAAATCATTCCTAAAGCAGATTACCTGTAAACAGCAGCTAAACATAGACAGACGACAAGAAAATGGGGGTACGTTTCTACCACCATGGAAATAATAATGATAATGATAATGAAGCAAAAAAAATCAGGTTTTGTAGCTTTGCTGTAACTTTGAAATGACCTAAATTTGACAAACTTGCCATTAGCATCGCCCTGTTAAACATAAAGTCTCGACGCCGCTGTTTATCTCAGTTTTAGGATACCAACACTTTTGAAAGTAGGTGGAAGAGAACTCGCTTTCCACCATTTACTCACACACTACGGGTCCAGTTGCTTTGAAGGTCTTGTTCAGAAAACCTTAAAGTGAAAGAAAATGTTTTCCTATTACTTAATTCAATCAGAGCGCGAGGTGGGGGCTTCACGCGCCGCGCATCGGGCTCCTCTATTACAGAGTCGCCTTTGTTGCGTCTATCCGCCGCTGTCACACACTTTAATTCGACTCTCTTTCTCTCTCATTGAAAACCCTCCACAATGACATTCAATAAGGGCCTCAGAGTGAAAACCTGGTTATTTTTACATAGGCTATTCTTTCCCCCCGACTCGGCAGGGGCCCGAGCGAAGGAATTAATCACTGCTCTTTAACAGCGCTGCCTCCAGGCAATGACTTGTCCCTTTTTTGTGCCCAGAAATGACACATTAACCTTAAAATGGATACGCATAAACTTTACATTCAGCTGTTGCATTTATGTTTGCGCTCAACACTGTCCGTAAAGTAGCCACACAAGTGCATGGGGTATATCAGGTGTATTGAGACATACAACTACATACAAAACAAACAAACCAAAAAAAACAACAACATAAGAATTGTTTGCAACTGTCTGTCGTGTCCCCCCCCCAGACATTCACCCACTGGCTTTTGTTTTAAATAAATTTAGCCTGTGCGTCCTCTCACCAGATAACTCCATAATGAACAGAACATTTTAAAAGAAATTATGGGAAATGATTCTCTAATTTACCTGCTGTTACTTAAATGTAATAAACTTCATTAACAGTTGTGCATTTTTCTGAAAGTTTCCATGAGCGTTTCTCCTTCTCGCCTTGGCGTTGATTAAGTCTGAACACATAACCTACAGACATAATAGTCCGCTTAATGTCTAAGACAGAACTTGAAGTCATATACTGGCTTTTCGAATGTGACAGGAACGTTTTCACAAATTTAAGCTCTACTCTATGATAAAATGAGAGTGATGATAAAAGGAGAATGGGCAGTGCCGCCTCTTGCGGCGTGGGTGGGGCTGACAAGAATAGACTACATTATGCAGTTCATATAGTTAACAAGTGAAATAATGGGGAAGCGTGCAGTGGGAATGCCGCGAGAAAGGCACAAAACCCTATTGAGAGCTCCTGGCCGCTTACGGCGTAACCGTCACATGGCCGAACCGAGTCCACGGCGGCTATTTAAGGAGCGGCGGGGCGGCGTCTGCACCCACTCGTGTCCGCCGTCCCGGGGAGAGCAGGCAGACACGACTGAACGACGCGTCAACTTCATCCACACTGACCAACAAATTTGCAAATATGCCGAGGTCTTTTCTCGTGGATTCCTTGATTTTAAGGGAGGCCAATGATAAAGGAAACGAGAACAACTCACCTTTATTCCCGTACGCTGTGCACTCTCCGCATCACCCGCACGGGCTGCCGAGTTCCTGCCACTCCAGGAAAGCCGGGCTGCTGTGCTTCTGTCCGCTGTGCATGACGGCGTCCCAGCTCCACCCGTCTCCACCGACACTGCCGCTCCTTAAGGCAACCTTCCCTCCCTTTAGCTCACAGTACTGCCACTCAGCTCTGTCACGGCAACACTCTTCATCCAACAGCGTGAACCTCAGCCACGGACCGGGCATATACCAAGCTGCGTACTCAATCCCAGACCCTCGACAGTTCCACTGCATCTCCGTAGGTAAGTAGAGGTTAACGTAACGCTTCATTAGGTGGAAAAGCACACCTTTCACATGTTTTTATAAATTCACTGTGGCTGACAGTTGCTCTTATTTTCACAGAAAACAGCAACGGCAAACTTCAGAGCAGCAAGCGCATGCGCACCGCCTTCACTAGTACCCAACTTTTGGAGCTGGAGCGAGAGTTCACCTCCAACATGTACCTTTCCAGACTAAGGCGCATCGAGATCGCCACATACCTGAACTTGTCCGAGAAGCAGGTGAAAATCTGGTTCCAGAACCGCAGGGTGAAGCACAAAAAGGAAGGCAAGAGCAGCGGCCAAAGGACTGGATCGCATAACTGCAAGTGCTCGTCCCTGTCAACTGCGAGATGCTCAGAGGAAGAAGAGGATGACCTTCCCATCTCCCCATCCTCGTCCGAAAAGGAGGATGTGGACCTGTCCGTTTCCCCCTGAACGCCCCTAACCTTCTCTCCTCTGAAAGATTTTGGTCCTCATGATTTTGAAAACAGCCCAAAAAAGACTGCTCCGCTTGTGTTCAGTCGTGTGTACATAGACAGAGAGAATATTTAATCAGGGAATTGCCCTGAATTATTGTATAGCTGTATACATGTTGTACGTTTTGTATGTAGTTTTTTTCTGAAAACGGTTCGTTCGTTGTTGCCAATCCGATGAGTGTGATAGGCAGATTTGTAAAGACATACCCCAAATGACAAAAAAAAAACAAACAAACTAAAAAACAATAGCAACATTGCTTTTTAGTATTTTGGGGAAGACTATTTTGTAACAATGGTGAACACTGTTTAGATTCATTCTATGTGGATGGAACTGTGACTTAAACTGTGGAAAGCTCGAGAGAAATTCCCTCACTGTCACATCACTGAGATCACTCTGAAATTATATCTTCGCTGTAATGGAAAAATATTTATTTATTTAAAAATGTTGATACTTAAATAAAATATTTCTCAGCGGTAGACTACGTTGTCTTGTGAGTTAACCATTTTTAGTCTTTACGCACCGTTGAGTGCGCACAGTGTCCAACGTCAACTCTGGTCAACATTAGCACTTTGAAAATTGATCAATAAAGGGATGTTGTGGGAGAACCAGTCAGATAATGCAAAAGTGTTAGTCTTTGGTCAAAGTTGTAACGTTACATGTCCACACATGTAAACAGTTCCAGTCTGCACTGGCGACGTGTGTGCAGTCCATTATTGCAGACCCAACTCTGTTTCGGTTTCCTATTTAAAATATATATTATTAATATATTTTTAAAGTGAAGGTATAGCTGCTATGCGCAAGGGGTGTTTATTATCCACACTATGAGAAGAAAACTAAAAATAAGTTATTGACGAGGTTCGCAATCTTTGCTCAAGGACACAAACAAATTGGGAAGAGCAAATGTATTTTTGGAGATTCCCAGCCTGCACTACGCACCGCAAAGAAACAACATTTCATAGTGTAACTAAGGAACACATTAGCTGAACGAGTAAATTAAATGCTCGGTAATCTTGATCACTCAGAAGTGATATGGGTGCTCTTATGCTGATCCCTTGGGGATAGATATCACTGGCTGGCCATTTGGGGCTCTTCAACTTCAGTAGTCGAAATGATCCGTCTCGTGTGACAGGGTTAATAATCACTGAGTGTATATTGGTCCATCGGGAGTGTGCAGATCTTAAGACATGGATCTAACATGCAAAAGAAATGAAGAAAGAGACGCAGCTTGGTGTCCATAATCAGCACTGCTTTTATTCTTAACGCACCAGTGTGGTGAAGTTTACTGTTGGCTCGATGAGCTCCAGGTGCGTTTAGACCTAATACAAGCCTCTTTAACTCAACTAATAGTATTTACATTAAAAATATATATAATAATTAACATATAAATAGATGTTTGTAAAATAATGTAAACCACAAAATTAAATACTGTGCAAAGTACGCATCAGATTTAAATACAGATTCATTCTTTTAAGCAAAATACATCTTTTAGTTGAAATTTACCTTAAAGAGTGTATGTGTATAGTATATATTATTGCTGCAGTAAAAAGTAAAACATGCCATCTCATCCCTAAAACATCTCCCAAAACACCCAAGCCATGGGTTTGCCTTGTAATTACAGTTTTCTTCGCCTATTTTACGCACCGCCACAGCTGCTCTCTGACTGAAACTTTTGTTCCCAAAAATATGTTTTATGTTGAGTTTTAAATGAAATTTACCTCCTTAGAAACCTATCTGTAGATTTTTTTTTAAAGGGAGTAAAAACTATTTTTAAATTGCCTACAGCACATTATCTGCATCAGTGTGCTTTTTTTGGATGTGGAATTTCACTTGTAAACTTTCATTTAATTGTTGACTTAACCATTTTAACAAAACTCTATAGGATTAGACTATTTTGTTAATTGCACCATAGAGCCCCGTTTTGCTCACAACGTCCTCTGCAAAGCGCCCTTTATCCATTCAATAGCCCGAGGCTATGCGCCCTGGGGGAGCTTATACCCTCGGTGCTCCAAATGCTCAATTTATTTATTCTTAATTTTGTGCCGATCAATTCATTGAAGCAAAAAGGACTACGGTGTCTTTTTAAAAAGAAGAAAGGGGAATTGTGGACGTAACCTTGACGGAGCTGACGAGAGGGCTCCCCTGACGCTGGAGAGCCGCTTGAGTCAACAGGCGCCCATCTAGCAGACTCGCCCTTGTCTTTATTCTGGCTAATTTTTTATTTACGGCTTTTCTTTGACATGTCTCTTATCTATCAGATTAAAAGAACAGCTTGTAACAAATCAGTCTGCACGATTTACAACAGCATTAAAATGGGACAAAGGGAGCAGGCAGTCAGTACCTGAGAGTCTGGTAGACGGCGCGGCGCTGCAGCTGATTCGATGGTTTGAAAATACGCACGAAACAAAATACTTGAATCCTGAAAAAGAGCCTTTGTACGTTTCTTTAGAAATCAAGCAATTCTGCATGACAAAGGACAATTAATAAGCCGTCTTTTCACGACCAGCAGCTGGTTTCCCCGTCAAGGAAAGTTGGAAAAAAATCAGACTGAATGCGCGCAAAAGCCCTTTGCGCGCAGACAGCAACCCAAGGTGACCCATTTGGCACAGTTAAAATAACCAAGCCGAGGTAAAAGCGAGGGAACTGTCAAAAACATTTAAGCTGAAATATCTTGAAATTGCAAATCCCTTTATGTGGAGGGACGCTGCCGATGTGGGTTAGTGGTACAAAGGAGGTGGTTAAGTTGGAGAGGCTTTGGAAACGGACACGTGGCTTCTCAATGAGAGCTCTTTTGGACCCGCGTGGCTTGCTGTGGCACTACACACATTCATCTACTTTAAACTTAAACAGCTTAAAAACCGCGTGTAGTAAACCTAACGTGTTGCTCTACTAACTTTAACCAAATTGTTTATAAACTTTTTAACACTTTATTTCATTTATATTGTGTTCGTTTACCAGTTTGTAAAGGACAAATGCCTGCTGCTCCAGGCTTGTGCCTCGCCTTTAAATGTGGAGTTCTGAGCTAATGTTGGAAGAGGGCCGCCTGTTTTCAAGAGGATATTTTTAAAACAAGAATCGAATAGTTTAAGGCACTTTTATCTTCACATTTCACAAGTTTAATGATGTATTGGCATTCTTTGATTTGCGTACAGCTGTTTATTGCCAGTAAATAGTAATTGGAAAGGTTTTTACTGTAGAAATGTAAGCATGCTTTTGTGGACTAAAAATGGTAAATGGTTTTGAATTTGCATTAATATCGGGAAGCCAAACATTATATTCATAGTCGTCAGTTCTTCTGTTATTTTGGCACAGCTTCGTCCGAGCCGACTTGCATCGATGGGCTGGAAACGGTTTCACTTGCTATTTGTTTTTTGTGTTGTTTGCTTTTTAATACGTGTAGTAAAAATGCAACAGCAGCATGTCTCATTATGAAGCAGTTAGTGTTGACAAAGTGTGTTCAGTCTGCTGAAGTGGCAGGGGAGGAAACCGCTCGTCATTGCCTTGAACTCTTAAGTGTTTTCTGCTGCAACATTTGAACCCATTCAGATGTATATAATCTGTTTAACAGCTAATCAGTAATTTAAGATGAAGGACTGGCACGCAGCTTCACTTCTTCTCAGTTCCCCCCTCCTCTAATTGAATATTCAACGCGCACCGTGCTCTGCTTGCCTTTTTCAGTGAGAATACGCCTTTTTAATTCTCGGCTCATACACAAGCAGTGTCAGAGGTCGAGAAATAATGAACTGAGAAGACATCGAAGTGACGTCTGCAAGCGTCTCTGCTCGTCCAAAGTGAATGCTTCTGAAAGGGGTTTCGGTCCAAATATTAGATGTGACATTTGGATAAATTACAGTGGGGCACCATCGTTTGACTGTCACCTTCACACGTGAACACGAATAATAAACTCAGCTGAGACTAGAAAAGTGGGAATAAGAGCTCTGCTTGGTTACTGGGATGTATGTTGGAAACAAGGAAGGAGGATTCGGGTATATTTTAAAGGCCGGAAAAATACAGATGTTCTTGGAACTGCTGCAAGTACATAAGGATAAAGTATATATTTAGAAACGTGTTTCTTGCGCCACGTCTTCCGCTCTTCATTAGCGGCATATTTGGTAGGCTAAAACAAACACTTGTTGGGAATCCTGACTTGTGAGTCCTGCTGTAGCCTTATGTCTTATGCGTTATTGTGAAGGCCCTTCATTCGTTGTGCACCATGAAACCCTGCAGTTCAAAGTAAAAAGCTATTTTGAGATGAACGTCAAGAGAGGCAAGTTCTTTGGTGATGGGAAGATGCATGCGCGCTCTCCAGGTGCACAAACCTCGCTGACAAGCACACAGACGCAAAACGTATAGGAATATGGTTCACAGAGCAGGTGACGTCGACAAATAAAACAAATAAAGACAGGTTAAGTGTCAGTTATCGGCCACGGTGTACAGTATGTGGAATATCTGTTCTCAGCGGGTCTGAATGTTTATCCCACAGTGTAGAGGCTTATTCAGATGTGCGCTATGGAGCAGTCCCGCCCTCTGGTGGCAAACAAAAGACGATTAACATTGAACTGCGCAACTGTGCTTTGGAGAATGTTGGTGAAAAAAAAGTTGCATTGTATTAATAGTTTAAACAACATTTTTACTGTATTGTGAACCATCCTAATTAAAAGACTGCTAAGCAGGGATGCTACTATAGGTCCCAGCCAGACATTAGTTTACCAAATTGGAAACTTTTAACCTCTTAACAAAATTAAGTCTCATACAGGTGAGTTCCACTTTACCATTTAGTGAGATTAACGCTGCTCGACCCTGTATATTTTAAATAAAGTGACATGTTAGCAGAACCAGTGACGGATGTGATTTTCAGAGCTTTTTATTCTCATAATCTTTTGCTGTAACAAAACCTACATGTCCTACGGTGTGTACATACATCCAGGCGCCATCTCAGACAATTAAGACAAAACAGTCCTCTCAATATTCTCAGTTTGTGTTTTTCCTATGAACACGCACAGGTCAATCATTTCAGTATCAACAGTCATACAAAAAGTAACAAAATCTCTATTAACATCCAAACAGTTTTGAATAACACAGTAATCATTTGTCCGTTCCATTCAAACTACATCATAGAACACACAGCAACCTCACCAAGATCCAAAAGATCTTTAAAGAAATACTGTAACATCCTTTAGCATCCAAACTATGTTACACATAACAGAGCTTACACAAAGACAGAAAAAGGTACTTACATGTAAAATGCAAAGAAAAGACAAACCTGGAGATAAAATGCTCTGACTTTGACTCAAAGCACCATCAAGGTCCAGAAACACTGAATATAGTCAGTGTGCACAAAGTCAGCCTCCGGTTTACTGTCAGACAAGCAGCTCTAGGATTTGACTTTTGATAACATCACAGACGCTTTTTAAATTCACTTTTCTACCGTTCATATTTGTCAATACTGTCCAAAAAACCCAAAGCAAAACAACAACAAACAAATAAAAAAAAACCCATAAAATACAAAGTAATTGCAAAAAATAAAGATGCACAAAAAAAATTAATATTGATTTATATTATAATATTTAATATATATTAGAATATTTAAATCCCAAAACGTCATTTCCTTTTAAATATCAGTTTTAAAAAAATCACATTGACATCAGCTTATCACAGAGCCAATACATGTACAATATAATGCTTCATAGGTATCACGTTTATTATAGTAATTGGGATAAATAATCAAATACCTGGCTGGTAAGCTGTTTAACAGTTTGTCAGCTCTGCAGTTTCTCATTTTATTTCTGCTAACTTTTACTCTACATTTCTTTTATTCAGTCCAGACATGAATATTTGCGTGAAGGTCATAATTTGATAGAATATAAAAGTCATCTTTCATAAAGTTCTAACAATAGTTCTAACAAGACTCTGTGGGTGTAACATTAGTTGTCAAACTGCTGTTTCCTGGGTCAAAACTGTGGTCTCATGCTCCATCTTTGTGAATATTTAGATGAATGGATAATGACAGATTCATCAGCTGCAGCTCTAGATCTCACACCTTGAAGCATATATGAATAAAACTAGACTTTCTCAAATATCTCATGGCTTTTGCAAAAAGATTCACTATTTTAACTAAATCGCTCAAGAAATGCTTGAATCATAGCAAACAAAATCCTACAAAAGGTTGCTGTGTCACATTTACCATTTTAATTGGTTTCCTTATTTGCTGTATGTATTTACATAGTCACTGATTCCTCCTTTCACTCAATCTGCCTGTGGCTCCTGCTGTCAAATATCATCGACCTCCTCTGGGGCTGATAGAAGCAGCTGGTTGACGTTTCCAGTCTCTGTCCACTTTTTGGAATGGTCATTTTGTTTTGAAGAGCGATCCCCTCCTGCATCCTGAAATTCTCTGTCATCTCTTTAGAAAAGACATTCACTGCTGCTGTGTCATTCAGAACCTTGATGGATGAAAGGAGCTTGCTATCATCCCCTGATGGTGGATAGTCCATGATAGGAAAAGGAGGGCTGAGCAGGATGAGACTCTGAGGCCTCTGTCTGTTCCTAAAGGATGGCCTATGTAAGAGATTCCCTCTGTTAGGTCTGGGACAATCTGCAAACACCTCCAGGCTGGGAGCATTTCTCCTTGTTATAACAGGCAGCTCTGGAGTGGATGTGGGCTTCTCAGACTCAGCAAATTTCTCAACATTTGGGTGCTTTTGGTGTTTGGGGCCAGGCTCTTTATTCTCCAGCTCCTCCTTTAGGTCTGACATCAGCAGAGGAGGTGTAGTGTTGCTTTTCTCTGTGCTTGTGTTAGGATATTCCTTTTCCTTAACTGTGTCATTCTCCAGTCTGGAGTGAGGTATCTGACTGTACTGCACCTTTGGAGGAACGACAGGCACTGCTTTGGCTTGGCATGTTTTTATCATGAAGGCTGTTCGCACTGACGACACGCTGACCGGGGCTGAATTCCGGCGCAGAGGTGCCTGCTGATCACTGAGAAACAGTTCCAACTCTGAGGGCAGCCCACTGTTTACAGTTCCAGACGAGGATAGTAACCCTCTCTGACCAGAGGAAAACTCTGACAAATTACGGTTTTGCTGATTTGAAATATCTCTGATGCATCTGTACCCTAGATCTAAATTAAGTGAATATGGCCTGTGTTTCAAACAGCAAGTATCCTCTCTTTTCTCTGAAGCAGCTGCCTCGTAAGACATCTGTCTGTGAAATCTATGAGATGACACTGTATTCTTCTGTTTTGTTGTGCTGCATTTTACTGCGTGAGGTTGTGTTGCATTATTGCCGTTCGCACTGACCCGTGCAGGTAGTGACGGCAAATACATCCATTTAGTTTCAGGTTTACTACTGTAAGTGTGTGGAATGTTTCTTGAGAAGCGTTCAGAACTCTTCATGGTCGATTGTTTATTATCAACCGAAGGAGATGAAATCTTTCCCTCTGATCTCAGTGTTTCCCCACTAGACGGCTGGTTCAACAACTCCTCAATATCAGGTGAATGAAGAGGACTGGTAACCCACTGCTTGGTGGAGCCAAGATCTTCCCAGGGCTCCACCAAGTCCAGCTCCTCAAAATTCCCTCCGCATCCTTCTTCATCGTCAAGATGCAGCTCCAAGGTGTGACGTCTGTCCTCCAAACACACTGAAAGCCTCTGGACAACTTCCACCTCAGGAATCACAACCTTCTTTGCTCCATCACAGGAGATTCTTTGGTCTTCTTGAAAAATTTCATCTTTCTGAGATTTGTCTGTATCATGTGCTCTTGAGAAGCCTTGAACTGTTGGAACATCCTCTTTTGTCAAAGGATTCACAACCTTATCTACACATGTTTCCTTTAAAGCAGATTTGTGTTCCTTGGTGGTAGATAGGTCATTTGTGCTTAAGGGTGTGATTTCTTGATGCTCTTTCTTATCTTTTTCATTCGCCACATAAGGAGGTCTGGCATTTTCTGTGCTTCCACCAACATTTCCATCAAAGTTTTTGTGAAGAGAACATAAGATGTCTGACTCTGAGGGCTGTTTCTTCGTAGAGTCAGAGCCAGTGGCAATTACATAGTCGCTCAAAGAGGTATTTGAAGACTGCTCCCTACATAACAAAGACAAAGACGGTGAGCTGCGGCTTCGCTTGGACTTAACATCCATCGTTAACTTCATGTCCTCATAAGTGCTCCTGGAGCTGAAAATAGATTTTGAAGTGTCATCCAGCAGATCTGTTTCAGGTTCAGTTATCTTCAGTTTTTGGCGAAGTTCGGCCCACAGCTCCTTGCCAGGAGAAGATCCTTTGTCCTGCAAACGAATAAATGATAAGCACAAAAAACAGATAGGATTGAGTATAACCAAAATCATTTCATCACTCATTTCTAAAGCAAACACAATCCTCATGTGTGAGTTTGACATAGGTATGTAGATAGATATAGATCTTAGAAGAAAAGGGAATATATATATATATATATAAATAAAACTATATAGCTTCAAGGAAGAGTGTGCGATTCACTTAAGTGTTTTTGTTACATTTCTTGGATTTCTCTTTTCATCCTGATGGCAATGAATATATTAAATACAGTTATAACATAAAGAAAGAATACATTATTTGTGGCAACAGCAGGGCTAAAAAAAGTCTGACCAGTAATTTTACTCTGAGTAAAACCATAGGATGGCCTACCTGCCTGTCACCCTAACTTCCTACCTTCACTCAATGTGCAAGCCAAGAGGCGTTGGAGGCAGACATGTTAATGCTCTGTTTTTATAGCTAAAGCTAGCGAGCTATAGCAGAGAATGTACCCCACAGCAGCTTATGGATGGTGCAAGGGGTAAAACCAGAATTAACATTGGTGTGGATTTTGAACAATAGTGATAATTGTGAGAACAAATGAGCTGAAAAGGGACGGCATGATGGCCGTCTTTCTTCTGAACAGGTAATTATCAGTTTTGTTTTGTTTGGGGGGCATTTCTTATTTTCATGAAATCACTAGTAGTCAGGCAATGCACATTCCAGTGTGCGTTATGTTTTGGAGGAGTGGCTTCGGAGAGAAGTCAGAACCAAAGGGTGGGATTTCTTCTTCTGCTTTCAAACTTCCTCTTTGTTTTTTCCAGG